GTCCCCCACAACCACCATTAATCCCCCACTTGACCCCAAGCTGGAACTTGAATGTGGAGAGCTGGAAAGTAGACCTTATTTGCTGTCCTCCAGCTCTGCGCCCTTCTTCTCTTTGCCCTTTTCCCTCAACTATACCTTGCAATCAGAAGGGTCAGGCACCTCCTTTCCTTTATATCCATTTTTATGAAAGTATTTAACCCCATTTACAGAAGAAAGAATGTCTTCTCTCTACCATGAGGGAGGTTCATGTGGTAAGGAGACGCTAAATGGACCTGGGCTACCCTCTCTCTGGGCCAGGCCTGGAGTCCTACCTTGATTGTCTGTTAAAGAGGTCAATTCCTCTACCGCTCCTGCTTAGGGAGAGAAACCTCCTGATTTTACAAGGAGGAAAGCAGTGAGGGAAAAACTGACATATGCAACTGTATGTATCCGCTGATTATTAATCCTTTGTCCCACATCTGAGGGCCTGTTTTACATTCTCTCCCCTCCCAGCCTCACTGGCATGTGGGAATGGGGCAGCTGTCCCACCCCGGGAGCAGAGTAGGAGAATCTGGCAAGGGCTTGAGGGCCGCCTTCCCCACCCAAGGGGGCTTCCTACTCAGAAGCCCAGCTTTGGAATCCAGGAGAGGCAGAACACTCATTGGTCCTTCTCCTGGGTGGGTCCAGGTCCCTTTCTATTTCAAATAATAGAAACCTCCACCCAAATTTATTAAACTAAGGAGAGAATTGTTGGCTCACATCACTGAAGAGTCCAGTTTTCCAGTTTGGGTAGTAGTTTTAGGCCTTGCTGAGTCTAGGGGCTCAACCAGCTCCACAAGGCAACCCGTGGCAGTGCCGGCTCATTTCGGTTTCCACTGGAGTAAGGCCACCTGATCCTGGGAAACCACACCGGCCCCACACTGAAGGGGACTACCTGTTTGGTTAGCTGGGGCCAGGGGGTGGCAAGAGAAGTTTGGGTCCCCGCATTTGAGGAGGTGGTTCAGTGTTAAAATTAGGGCAGTCCCAAGCAAGCTGGAGCATTTGGTCACCTTGGCCTGCAATGACATCTGCTTCTTGTTTCCCCACTTTTTTACCAAACTCTGTCACTGTCCTCCTTTACTGCACTTACCTGTTCTTGGATCTAATGCAGGAACCCCGAGTTTGTTTTTGCCAGCCTTGGCCCCTCAGACTTCAGTGGAGAAGGGCTTTTGGTTCTGTTGTTGAGGTTCCTGTTGCCAGAGCTGTGTCTGGGCTGCTTTATCCTCGTGGGGTATTCCCCAGCCCCCTTAATAAAGCCATGTCAGATGAACTCACGTGCAGTGCATCTGCTCCCACAGAGAGGATGGCCCTTCCCACCACTCCCTTACCCCTTCCTCCAAACTGCTTCTCCCTCTGCTCCCTTGCCAGGTGAGTAGACAGCACCACCTCCCATCCAGGTCCCTGAGCCTGAAACCCCCAGAGCCATGCAGGGCTCCCTACAGCCCCTCTGATGGTCAAAAGTCCTGCCTTCTCAGCCTCTACAGGCTCAGTCCCTTTGCTTCCCACAGCAATTGCCCTCATTCACCAATTACTTTCCTGCCCTCCCATGCCCCGCCCTCCCTACTGTTGCCAGAGGGGTGGGTCTTTTCTAAGATATTAGGACGACATCCTCGAAGGCTCTTGCTGAATGTCCAAGCTTTCTTCCTCCACTGCAACTTTGCACATACTCCCCCACCTCAAATGCCCTGAGCAGAGCACCGATGACAAATGTCTGTTACCCTATGGCCCTTCTTTGCCCTGATGCTACAGCAACATTGCTAGCCGATCACATCACACAGGAAGCCTGGGCACCTTTCCTCCCATCCTTCAAGCTACCCACCCGAGTGGGTCAGAGCTGGCACCAAGGGCATATCTATTTGGCATGCTGGTCCTAACTGCTTCCTTCTCTGGCTCCCTTAAATTGCCCTGTAGGTGTCGGCTCAGGAGGTTCCATGTCACCTCTGCCAAGAAGTCTTCCCTGATTTGCTGTTTCTCTTAATCTGCTTTCAGTCTCACCCTGTGTATAATATATCTATAGTTATATATCTCAGAACATTTCTTATGCAGAATTTTAATAATGTACTTGCTTGTCACACTAAAATGTGACCTTTTTGAAGGTGTGTGAAAAGTCTCAGTAATCTTCATATTTCCAGGACCCAGCACAGAGCCTGGTATACAATAGATACTCCAAACTCTTGATTGGGTACACAAATGAGTGAATGACTGGGTGATTGAATGAATGAATAACCTGGTCTGGCCAGGTTGTTTTGAAGGTGAATGAATCAAAAGTTTATTAAGCCTCTTTGAAAAAGAAAATCAATTTGCTTCTCCCTTCCCTGTAGCTGCAAGAGAAGGTCATACTTCTCAGCCACTTGCCAAGAGATGAAGCTGAACCTGTTTGTTTCAATCAGTGAGTCTGGAGAGCAAGCAGTTGCCTCACCTTCCCGTGAGGAGCAGTGTGAGTCATATGCGTCCTCACCTTTCACAGTGCACAAATCTAGGCCACCCTGGGTCCTTCAGCTCGTTCTCCTGGGTCCTAAATTTTTTTCTAACGTGTGTGTGTGTGTGTGTGTGTATGTATGCATGCACGCACACGTGTGTGCATGTGTGTGCACCCCTGCATATGCATGTGTGTCTATGTGTGTATTTATGCATATGTGCAAGCCACCTAGTTATATGCAGAATCTCGTCAGTTATTTGAGTGCACCTAAGTGCATTCAGCAGGGGATGATCAATAATTTCCCTCAACTTCTCTCTGGGCCATGTGCTTGGTCTCATGCTGAGAAGGAGTCTTTACGGTGAACTGTGGCTGATACTAGCCTGATCTTTGGTACTTTGGATCCATTTCTCTTTTTATTCTCTTTTTAGTTCAAAAACCCAGTTGGAGATTGAGAATTCTAATTCAAAAAGATGTTATTTTCTAGAAGAATGCCAGAAGAAAGGGGCAGTCTCTTGAGCGTATGTTCCAATGTTACACTTTTGCCTGGGTCCTCAGGGAGCTACAGAATGGTCTTTGCCTTTGATTTAGGCCATGTTTCTGCTTTCCCTATGAAAGCTTCCCTTCTCACTGCAGAGCTGCTGTCCCAGAGGTCTCTAGAGAGGCTCTCTCTGCCCAGAAAGCCCTTGGAGGCAGCAGAATGCATAGGGGACATGGCAATGCTGGGAGACACAGTGACACTGTGGGACATGGTGACATTAGAGGACACAGTGACAATAGAGAACACTGACACTGGGGACATGGTGACACTGGGGGACATAGTCACCCTTCTTTCCCTTCTCAGTCCCTCAGTAAGGGCCAAGAAGGATGCGCATTATCACAAGTGAAAATGGAAATCAAGTGGGAAGAAAAGTTAGTCCTGCAGGAGGACATGCTTGGGTAACAGCATCTGCACTAACATCCACTGCAGGGATGTTAGTTGGAGATCTAAGAAAGCAGCTTAAAGGGATTAGTTGGGAGGGAGGAACTTGAAGGAGCTAATTATAAAGTTTGTACCAGAGATGAGAGAGGATTATGAGACCTCTTTGTGCACAACCATTTTGAAAATGAGAGAAGAGTTCTGAGATGAATGTGGCTAGATAGAGAGCAAAGGTAAGGAAGGGAGATGTGAGCACCACTGAGCCATACGTGGGATTCGTGGCTACAGCAGGGAAGACCACGTTTACTTGCAGTATGCACATCTATGAGGGTCCTGCTGTGGTCTGAACCATGTGGAAGTGGGGACGACTCCTTACCTAATCATAATTCATCAAGTGTCAGCTTAGTGACAGGATTAAGCACTGTTACGAGGATCTGTGAAATATGGGCATTAGAAATCAGTGTGTATTTCCTGGATCCCTAATCTATGCCAAACATGGGGCTCAGAGCCCCGGGGAGTACAGGTTTGCTTCACAGGCTTGGGGTACTTGGCCAAGAAGGATACAGGCCAGGGATATAGGAAATGTCAGGGGAGTTGTACTGAAAATGGGGGTTGCCCCAGACTAGGCGGTTGGGGCAGGCTCCACAAAGGAGGGAATCCAAGGCAGGGTGCAGAAGGATGGGGGTTGCCATGTGGGGAGAGCCTCGGAACCAGGAGGCTAGATGGGAGTGGAGAACTCCTGTGGGAAAGAAGCAGGAGCTGAGGCTCTAAGGGGGAAGTCAGAAGGAAGCCTGAGGGACCCTTGAATTGTAGGGTAACAAGCCTGAGCTTCTTCTGCAGACACTGGGGAACCATTTGAAGGGTTTGGAGCATAGGAAATGCCCAGGTAAAAACTGGGTTTCAGGACAAATTGGCCAGCAGGTGCACAGAACAGAGCATGGCAATGACAGGGAGAGCCTGTGGGAGGCTTTTCCAAAGTCCCAGGCAAGACAATGGGGCTTTCCCGAAGTGGGAATAGAAATGAATACGTGGATGAAAGGGATCGACCCTATCAAGGCTGGGCTAAGCCCCCAGTCTCCCACGTCGATGGCAGTGGGCTGGGGTACTCTCCCATAGGGTCCATCACGCATCTTCCAAAGACTTTGGAGGGATGGGAGGAGGGGGGCATTCTTTCTACGTCAAAGCAAACAGTACCAGATAATAAAGAGAAGACATGGTGGGTTACAAGTCTCCTTGTCTATACTCCTGTGCCAAGGGATTCTGCTCACCTGGCACCAGAAGACATGAATCCAGAGAGCTGGGAATTCCCCTGTTACACATGAGACCTGGCACTATGCAGAATGAATATGGCTGCATGTTACAGGTGGGATCCACCAAGACACAGATTGTGTCATTAACCTCCTGGGTCACACAGGTAGTAAGTGGGGTTTGGGATTTGAATTCATATCTATCTGGTGCCGGACCTTTGGCCTTCCTTCTATTCCATCAAAATGGATTACCCAGCTTCTAGGTAGCTGAGTGGTACAAATTTGGGATGGTCTGGAAGCACCTCTGTAACAAAGGGGAGAGAGGAAATGTAAACTCCCCTGGGTTGTCTCTGACTCTCCTCTTCCTCTGATCCATTCCAGCTGCCTGGGCCTCTCCACCATGAACAGCACCTTGAGGGATGCCCAGGCCCCAAGCCACCGTGAGTGCCTCCTGCCTTCCGTGGCCCGGAACCCCTCTGTCACCCAGGTCACGCCAGCCAAGAAGATAACCTTCCTCAAGCGAGGGGATCCCCGGTTTGCTGGGGTTCGCTTGGCTGTTGACCAGCGCGTGTTCAAGAGCTTTGGTGCTCTGATGGACGAGCTCTCTCAGCGTGTGCCTCTCTCCTTTGGGGTGCGCTCTGTCACCACGCCCCGGGGCCTTCATGGCCTCAGTACCCTGGAACAGTTGGAAGATGGTGGCTGCTACCTCTGCTCTGATAAGAAGCCCCCCAAAACACCCAGTAGGCCAGACTGGCCACAAGGGAGAAGCCCATCTGCTCAGCAGTCAAGGGATTTTGAAAGCCGATGTGAGGCACCAGGAACATCCTCTTCCTGCAAGGGTCCTAAGGCCCCAAGGAGGATAATGCTGGTTAAGAATGGAGACCCTAGATTCCAGCAGACAATGGTTCTCAGCCATAGAAATACAAGGAACCTGTCGGCCTTTCTCAGCAAAGCCTCAGATCTTTTGCACTTTCCTGTGAAGCAGATGTACACGACAAGTGGGAAAAAGGTAGGCTGTTGGGGTATGCTATTTCCTTTAAAAAGCTCTCTGGACCTCAGATCAAAATACTTAGATGGAATGGGGAGGTTATTCTTTACAAAGAGGCACTGATTGCCTTGCTACTAATTAAAGGTGAATTAAAGGAGTGGAGACATGTAGTCAGTTAAATAAGCAATTATTATTTGTATTTTGCTTACCGTTTAGTGAGTGCTTAGTGAGTGCCAGACACTGTGCTTTGCACACTTTTATTATTTTCTTATCCAATCCTTCTATTATCCAATACCATCTATTTCAGGGAGAGTTCAGTGCAGAAGACAAAAACTCCTCAAAGTACCTTGAGCAGAAAATAATCTAATGCAGGACATTAGGGGATTCCCAAATCTTTGGACAGCTGGAGGCATGAGCTCTAAGCTGGGTCTACAGGAATAGCTCCCAGCATTCTGCAGGAAGCTACTACCCTGCTTGAAGCTACTGTGATTATTGAGTTCAAGAATACTTCTCTATAGTGGCATCCAAGCTTATAAATCTGGGATCAGGAAACTGCCACAGTTGCATCTTAACACTCTTGACATGCAGGAGCTCTGGGGTGCCGGGTCTAGCCTGCTGCCTGGGCTGCTATGGCCTCCTGGTACCCACACATTTGCTTCGCAGCAACAACAACCAGAAGCGAGAAGAGATGGTGTCTGCCTCACTTGCTTTCCCAGACTTGATCAAGTGCATCTAATTGATGGAGAACCCAATCTACATATAGCCTGAACTGTGAAGAAGGCTAGGGAATAATTTTTGCCTTTCCAGCTCCTGCAGAACATGAATGTACACTGTAGGTGCACAGGATGGAGGATGGAGGTGGCTTGATCTAATCAACAGTTTCCCCATAATCTAATCCTATCACTACTTAACACCTGTGTACACTATTCTACCACTACTTAAATTTACAAGCAGCAGCTACAGCAGCATGTTCCCACCTAAGTATGTAGCTGTCTTTCCAACAATCAAAACATATTCACCTTCCCCCCAGAGTCACATCAGCACTGTACCATCCATCCTCTGGGCACAAGCCCACCTTTGTAGCCTCTGTCTTAAGACTTAACTATCAAGTCACCAAAATACCTTATAAAAAGTGCTAGAGGGAGGCAAGGGCAAAACATAGAAAATTGATTCATGCCTAGCAGAGTTGTGAAGAAAACTAGGTTATCTACTGCAAGGCCATTGATGGTATTAGGTTTCCTTCTACTGTCCATTTCATGTTCCCTCTGCCCTCTGCCAGCACCTCAGCTGAATGTGGTTATGGATATGGTAGAATGGCTGGACCAATTCCACCATCTGAATTATGGTGTGTTTACTACGTGCTGCCTGTGCTACATCATTCTTATGGACTCAGCCCTTGGAGGTCCTTCCTGAGCCATTGTAGTCTTGTGTTAATTTTTAACCCTGAATATGGCAGCCACAGAAAGCACTCAAGGGATTCCCTGGGCTATAGATTACTTTCCCCCGACTCTATTTGCATAACAGCAACCCTATTCCCCCTAACCAAGTTTGAATAGGATCCAAACTCTCATTCTGAGAGACCCATTACAGAATCAATCACCCCATTCAACACAGAACCCCCCTGTTGCCTGTTGGTTCATTGTTGCAAGGATCCCCATATGGCCAAGTGACTGTCTCAACTTTCAGCTTCCCTGACTTGCTGTGTGTCTCCTGGTGGGAACATTTTCCCTTGGACTCAGAGACCTCCAAACTAGCAGAGCCTGAAGTTTTGGGGATGGGAAGCAAAATGTTTGTAGCTAGGTCATAGGTGTAATAGTGAAAGGAGCTGCTCATATCCCCACCTCTTAATTCCCAGGTATCTGTTGTCTGTGGAGAAACAGCACTATACTGTATAGTGGTTGCCAGTCCAGAGCACATATCACATCCTGCAAGATAATGCCTCAACATTATAAAGTGATTACTTTCAGTTGGTGCCCATAGAATGAGCCACCCTTCTATAAGTTATAGCTACTTTTGGGTGATGTAGTATATGGCTACACAGTGAATTCCATGGGTGTTAGTGCATTGCCTCAATTCTTTTGTTATAAAGTCAGTTCTTTGGATGGAAGTAATCCTCATGGATTATGGCAATGATGAATGAGGTATTCAGTAAGTCCACGGAAGTATGTGGGCAAGGAAGAAAATACGTATTCAAAATTAGTGCCTATTCCAGTGAATCCACATTTCTGACTCTCCCCATGATGGAGGGGTTCAATGTCATTAGCTTCCCATGAGATGGCTTGCTGAGTACCTCAAGGTATGCTGCAAATCACAAGTGTTTTGGCACAAGTTTAGCATGGATCTCTGCTCTTAGAAGATTGGACCCTTAGCAGACATGGCAGTCAGACCCACATGAATAAGGTAGTTCAGATTCCTAGTTCAAGTTTACTTTGTCACTCTGTTCATAATCAAGTTGAGCACACCTTGGGGTGGTTGGAGGAAAAGAATGACTAACATCCATTGAACAGGTCATTTGTCCACATGATTATCACCTCCTGGTGAGCGTTCAATGGGACACAAATGTTCTCGTTCTCTAGGCACATTCTGGGAGACCCATTTACAGATTCTTCTCTAGAGTTCCTTGTCACCAGCCCTCCAGTCTTGTTCCTTCCAAGGCCTTGATTGTCAGATTGAACTGCTAACTCCTGCCTACGAATTGCCATAGAACCTCCTGCCATTGCTCCTTCCGTGAAAAGTAGCCGACCAAATAACATTGTCCCCTGTACTTTCCTTCCCCACTGCCCTTTATGACCCCCAAGTGGGTCTGTAATGGTGCAGCAGTCAACTTTTGACTTGTATCAGCATATCCTGTGAAATCATCTGAAACCCAGAATCAAATATTTTCTTCTTCAGTTAACTGGTCATAGGGAACTCCCCCAGGAAGTTTTAGGTGTGCGGGAAGGAAAGATGGCAATGCAGCAGAAGCAGGTGAACTGGGGGTGTGGCTCATGCAATTTACTTATGTCTTCCGTTCAAATGCCTGGAGCCTGATCTAGTACATGTCACCACCTCCTGATGATGGGGTCCTGCTTTGACACACTTGCTTTATGGCTTGACAGATCACACAACAATCATTTCAGTTGTATTTCAACAACTAGAAGGATCAGTTTCTGCAGGTGATGTTTGCTACAAGAGAAAAGAGATTCTTTTATAGTAGTAGAAGCACCTAGGTCCTCTGGCCATCCCTGAACTGAGAGTTTAGACCTCGAGCTTGCCATTTTCTTTAAGTCAGAGAAGCCAGCCTACTCCATAGTCCTTGAAGCTCTCATTCTCATTAGAAAGATCTATCATGACAGCCAGTGATTGTCAAAGTCCTGCTCTCAGTTAAGCACTGCATTCTACTATCAGAGGTGATCATTCAAGAACCTGTTTTATCACTTTGTGTCTTAGGCTACCAGTGTCGCATTATAACCAGACTATCACTGCCTTCAAACCCAATCAGGTCAAATAATTAATCCAAGACTCCTCCCCTTGAGGGTCTATGCCTGCAACAACCTCTGATACTGTACATTGAATCAGTCATGATTCAGTATAGGAAACAGAAACCTCTGTACGTATCTTAAGCATGAAGAAATTATACACAGAGAGTTTTGTGCTTAAAGATTGGAAAGCTGGAGGAGCATAAGCTTGGTTTCTGGAAATAATTCCCAGAATATCACAGAATTGACCTATCTGGATAGACACCTCTAACACAATCAAGCAAGTGGGTTGTTGGGGTGATGTCCCTGGAATAATTGAGTTCAGTATTAGCCCACCATTGCTGTGGTCTGGAATGAGGCAGGTCATGTGCCACTGCTGTCTGTTGATATCCAGAAAGCTGGTGACTGGGTACTGGAAAAATGAGTGTGGCTTTTGCCATTGCAGCTGCACATGCCTCTTTATGCCTTTGACTTTTTTCTTGTGGCAACAGTCAAAAGCAAAAGAAAGATGGGTTCTACTTCACTGTCATTTCTCCTACCTTGTGCAAGTGCATCTAATTATTGGAAATGATTTCATGGTTAGAAGTCTAGCTGCAAGGGAGTCCAGAAAATGTATATAGAGCTTTGTACACTCTGCCATACTGGAAATTACACCAGAAAGAGAGTAAAACAGAGGTTGACTAATCTAGGACATGACATCTACCACACAAACTCACAAGGCAATTCATGTTATTATTTCTGTTGTATAGGTAAGAAAATTGAGGCACAGAGGTTAAGTAATTGGCTCATAGTTGCATGGCTGGCAAATGATAGAATCGACATTAATAATGTCAGAGTCATAATGTAAGAAAACTCCTAAATTATGGCACATTGGCTATGTACCAGCATGTGCTTCATGCAGAGGATACAGAAAATAAGTCTAGGTCCCTACCTTCAATTAGCTACAGTTTAGTGGGTATGGCGAAATGGAGAGAGCAGGTACAAAAGTAAGTTAATTGGAGAAAAAAATATTAGTGTATTTTCTTATAGACTTAATGCAGAACTATTAGAGTTTCTGTAAACAAAATGGTCTCATTGCTCCCCAGGGCAGGCTGTGGCATGATTATCAGTTTTCAGGTCCTCAACTGGGTGAACACTCTCAATATACTCTCAATAACTCTCTTTTTGTGTGTGTGGATCCTAAACTTGACCTTTTTCTAGAATGGAAGCATCATTTAACCCTGAGTTCTTTTTTTTCCTCCTTGGAAAAGTCTGATTTCCTAGAAGTATGACTACTCTAAATTGATAGACTTGGGTCATGTAGTCCATTTGGCTTCTTGTTGTATAAGGGATATGAATACATTGATATGTCTCTATAAATTGATAGAGTTGGGTCATGTTTGCATTTTTGTGATGCACTAGAGCTCTAAATCAACAAAGAAATGTGCTTAGTAGTTTGAAAGAAACTTCTAATCAACTAGGTTGAAAGATCTGGTGTACAGCTAATTTAATGTCATTTGTGGGGAGAGGATGCAAGAGTTCTCTTTTTCTCATTTCCTTGCTAATGAACATACCCTTCTAATTTGAGAAAATAAAGAAGAACAAATTCAGCCCTTTGAAGATGAAACTAAATCCCCCAACACTGCCAGTTACTATATAATATCATAAATAGTGCAAAGTCTCACATGTGCCGTAGGGGCCTCAGGGCCATGTGAGATTTTTCTAAAAGCAGGGACTTGTTTCCTGGAATGCAATGTTGCCTGTTCAGCATCCAGCCCAGGATGTCCTAGGGTGGGTGGGAAAGGATGGCATAAGCCTCTGAGCAGGACCCTAGGGAATCATTGGAGGAGCCTGTAGAGAGAGCAGCCTTGCCCTTCCCTGTTCCAGAAGGGCTGAAAGCAGAGGTGATGGGCTCGAGATTATACTGGAAAACACAGATTGGACCCAGGAGAGAACTCTTTGTGGGAAGTGAGTGAGATAGTGAATCAGATCTCCATAGGGAAGCTGGAGGCCTTTCTGTTCTGGTTGCTTTAAAAAAAATACGTATTCTGGAGGCTGCAAGGGTGGGCAGGGAAGCAGGCCAAAGACTTCTTGAAATGTTTTCCACCTGAGGCATCCAGAAGAACCCCTAAACCACAGGCCTTAAACCGGGTGGGGGGAGGGGTATATGGAGAGAAGAAGGTGATGGTGATAGGACCTCTGCCCCCAGTTAGTTATGGAGGTATTATGGCAAGTGGGTAGGACAGAATTCTGGGGTGAGATATGCAAACTTCAGGAAAGGGCCAGAGTGATGGGATTCTTCCTCTACCTATGTCTCCCTGGGTAGAAGAGGGGCTCTGCAAACCGGGCCTCCTAATTCAACACTCTCCTTCTTCAGGTGGACTCTCTGAAGGGTCTGCTCCGCAGTCCTTCAGTGCTAGTATGTGCTGGCTACGAGTCTTTCAAACCTCTGGCAATGGAAGATTCTAGAAGATACGGAACTGCAACTTTATCTGGGCAGACTCCAAGAAACAAAACCGGTGAGTTAGTTTTGGAGTTTCCCGAATTTTATTTGCCCTGGATAGTGGTTCAGTAGGACTAAGCAGATATCCTTTCTAGATAATTTTAAAAACCTGCCTTTTGGCCCAAATTTTTGGGTATCCCACTTTTTTTGGGTCACCCTTGCCTCTTCCTCTTTCTTACTGCCATCTACCTTAATTGGGTTGAAATTTGCCTGGTGTATGAGAGCGGGGAGTCTGGTATTTAAAGAAAATAGGGATTAGGAAATCTTGAACTCAAATTTCTAGGATCTAAAATAAGCTTTATTAAGGACCATGGTGGGCATGACATTATGGAGGCAATGGACCATGGGTATGTGGCATTTGCATCTTTCAAGAGTCATGACTCCCTTAGACAACAGTAGAAGCCAAATGGACTAAAACTAACAATAACCATTGATCCTCCATCTATTCATCAGTCTATACATCTAACTGTATGTATATCTCTCCAAAAAGCCTACTATGTGCCAGAGTGTAGGTGTTGTTATTTAAAAACACATTATTTTAAAGGCATAATTAACAACTGCAGGTTGAAATTTTCAGCAAAATTATTGGAATGGAAATGGGCAAATTTGGTGAATAAACAAAATAATATCCTTTGTGAAAAGCTACTAAGAAATGACAATAATGGTATTAGTGATCACTGCATGCCAGGTGCTAGAGGTACAAGGACCTATTAGCCACAGAGCCCCCTTTGGAGTAGATCCTAGTCTCATTAGGTGCTTATGGAAGAGCAGAGCTTGGCGAAACCTTCTGTCTAGATGGACTCAAGTAGGGGGATCTGTTCTTTTGCTGGCCATAGGCTCAGCCTCCACTAGCCTTTTCTTCTTGCCAATCAGGAGGAGATGAAATGAAAAAGTACTAAAGGCTTCATTCCTACTTGGGACCACTTCTTTCTTCCTTCAGTGGCTCCCTTTTCTTCTCTTTTTCATGGCTAGAGTGCAGGCTTGACTATCAAGACTTGCTATTGTGTGTCCAGGTCCTTCCTTGCAATCATTTATCAACCCCAAAGCTTGATGAGTGTTAGGATGATAAATCACCACTAATAATTGCAAAGCATCTTACAGTTTACAATCAGGCACCTTTACAGCAGCTTATTGATTTTGCTTCCTGTGTTGGGGGTGGGCATGAGCCGGGCCCGGAGTTAGCTCTGGGCCCTGCTGCTCTGTCTGCCAACTCTGTTGTCTATCGAAAACATACTTTGTGCTAGCAACTCTGCAGAAAGTTTTACATGCATTGCCCTGCATCGTCAAAACAAACCTACCATTATTATTTTACAACTCAGTAAGGAGTCTCTGCCAAAAACAACACAGCAAGGAAATCGCAGAGTTGAGACTGAATTCAGACGTTAAGTTCATCTCACTAGGCTTTGCTGGTTCACAGATTGCAGACTGGATATTCATTCTAGAATGGTTTCTGCCCTTACTTTGTGGTTTTGGGGGCGGCAGGGGTATTTAAATGATGAAAGCCTCATGACTAGCCTTTATTCTCCGATCCTGAAGCTCCCCCTAGTAGCTCACTGTCTTTCCTCTTTTCTCTTACTTTCATCGTGTGCCAGGAAGCTGGGGGCCAAAGGCCAAGCAGAGTGTGATCCACTCAAGGTCCAGGTCGGGCAGCCAGCCACGGCGGTTTTCCTTGCTGTCAGAGAGGTCTGGTCTCAGCGACCCCCCCGTGTCCCTGCATCACGCTCAGACGGGCCCTGCTCCTGACAGACACCCTCAGGACATGCCTGCCCAGCTTGGCCCATTGGTGGCCAGTGACGATGTTGAGAAAAAGGTCCGCATGAACGAGGATGGCAGCCTGTCTGTAGAGATGAAAGTCCGCTTCCACCTAGTTGGTGAGGACGCACTCCTGTGGTCCAGGAGGGTGGGGAGGGCCAGTGCCCTCACAGCAGCCAGTGAGGAGGTCCCTGTCTTGGGGGAGGTGGACTCCCTCCACTGTGTGTGGGAGGATCACCCTGGGGGTTCCCCAGAGCCTGGGGCACAGGGACAGGGGCCCTGTGAGGCAGGATGTGAAGAAGCCCTTGGCCGAGGCCGGTGGCAGCCAGGCACCAGGTGTGAGATCTGGATGAACCCCCTGTACTTCACCCAGGGAGAGGGGACAGCCTCTCGGAGGAGATCCAGGCTGACCCAACACTCCCATTCCAGGAGGCCCTGTAGCCAAGTGTTCACCAGCAGGAAAAGAAGCAGCAAGGACAGTGTCAGCCCTACCTCTAGGGACAGACCCCCCAAAGACTCTGAGCCAAACTCCTCCTGCTGCTCCAGGTCTCCGGAAGGCAGCGTGGACAGCTGCGACCTACATTCAGCCTCGGGGGCTGCCTCTCAGAGGGGAGCAGGGTGGGAAGCTGGAAGCCCATCCTGGACTAGTGAGGGCCCAGGTCCACAGGAAGCAGGGCAGGGCAGCAGGGAGCCCCATAGCTGCCTGAAGCCCCAGACCCGAGGCACGGCAGGTGCTCTTTCTGACTCCTCAGAGAGTGCGGAGTCTCTCGAGGAGTCTAGTGAAAGGGGTAAGCGGCACCAGGGCTGCCTGAGCAAGACAAGGGCCGTGACTACTTCCCGGACAAAGGCCATTCAGGGGGAAGGCCCCAGTCCGCCCACGGTGAGTCCCTGGTCTTTGAGGAACGAGGACTCTCAGGCAGAGGACAGTGGACAGGGTACCAGGCACTCCCAGGCTAAGGGTAGGTCTGGGAGGAGACCACCCCTGGCTCCAGGTCATTCTGGCTCTGGGGACACTGCAGGCCATTCTCCACCTTCTGCCTCAGTCCCGGGCGGGAGGAGAAAGCAGGGGGGCAGAGTCAGTGCTGTGTCCTCACCCAGCATTTCTGGTCTCAGCCACGGGGCTCAGAGAGGCCACCCCAGGCAGCAGCACACCCAAAGGCATACCCACCGCCCACCTGACTCACCTGTGCCCAGGCAAATGCCGGGACCGCCCAGCAGACGCAGGGCCTGCCCAAATGGCTCAGCACCACGCCTTTCTGCAAGCTCGCCCAGGGCCGGGAACCGGGCCTCCCAGGACACAGGGCCGCTCTCCTCTGCCTCTCTTCATTCCCAGTATGCACAGGGGGTCTGCAGTGCTCTCATTACCCCTGTGAGCAATTCTGACTGTGCTTCCGATTTCTACCCCCCATACTCTCCCTCTGCTGAGACTGAAGGGGACCCTGAGTTCAGGGCGCGCTCATTAGCTCCCACACCTTCCAACCCATCAGACTCTTTGAGCAGCCAAGCTGATGGTCTGGACAAAAAGGCAGGGGGCGGCATTCCCAAGCCTTCCCGGCCTTTAGTTCTGCCAGTTGGACAGTCCGAGGGAGGGATGCCGGGAGCCCACAGAGGCTGCGACTGCTCACCGATCAGCACATCCCTGTTCCACAGGACCCCCAGTGATAAGACTCATGCCCTGCAGACCTCCCAGCCACTGCGCAGCCAGGGGCCCTTCTCTGAGGTCCCCTTGGTATGCAGCAGATACTGTCCCACCCCGCCAAGGACATGGCCTTTTGTCAAGAAATACCCTTCGTGTTGCAGCAACCCCAGTGCTGACTGGGGGCCAGGCGGGGGAGAGCTAGGGGAGGGAAAGCTTGAGGCATGGTGCCCCTGGCCCCCCGGCTCTCAGTCAGGGGCCATGGGGAAAGCAGTCAAAGCCTCGAGAAGGGGCAGCTCCAGCTGTGGCCCCAGGTCTGGGAGAATATTCCAGGGAGAGAAGGTTGCTGGTGGAGGGGAAAGCCTAGAAGGGCGAGAGAGAGATAGCAGAATGGCGCTGGGTGCTCTGCCCCAAGCCTCACCAGATGCTGTGGTCCGTGAATGGCTGAGCAACATCCCAGTGGAGCCCATACCCATGAAATGTGAGATGGTGGGTGAGAGCACAGTTGTGTCAGGGGATGACCCAGAAGGCCCCAAGGAGGATCCTGTTGACAAACGTTCCCCAGAATGTCTGGGGGAGCCAACGCAGGTCAGACAACCGTCACATGAAGGGGCCGCCAGCGAGAAAGCAGAGCCAGACGGAGCCCTCCCAGTGACTGGTGATGCTCATCCCAAGTCAGAAGAGGATCTTCCTTGTAGCGGAGTTTCAGAAGACCCCAGGGAGGCTGGATCAGGCAAAGGCATGGCCGTGGACTGTTCAGTGGGCCCGTGCGTGCTTCCGCACAAGGTCTCTGCCTCCATACAGATCATGAAAGCACTAATGGGCTCCAAGCAGGGCCGGCCCAGCAGCCTGCCCGAAGTGTCCAGCGCAGCGGGCAGGAGGCTCAGCCGCTCTGCCCAGGCCCTTATCACCTGTCTTGCTGGGCTCCACTTCTTTGATGAAGACCTTGGGTCTCCCACTGGCAAAGTGAGGTTCATAGACTCTCCTCGGTACCAGGAGCTCCTGAGCACCTTCCAGGCCCTGTGGCCGGGGTGCAGCCTCAGGCGTGGTGAGCTGGACTCTGGCCTCTGGGAGCTTGGCTGGTGCCAGGCTCTGCCGGGCCTCAGGTCTGACGTCATGACGGAGGACTTCACACTGACATCCTCATCTGGTGTGGATGTTGGCAGTGGCTCCAGAGGCTCAGGGGAGGGCAGTGGACCCTGTGCCATGGAGTGCGCCCTGGTCCCTGAGAGGGTAGCCCTGCCCTTGAAAATCCCCTCCCAGAGGCCTGATTCTAGAACCTCCGAGAACCGAGAGGATCCAGGAAACCAACAGCTGAGTGGTTCCACGGCCTCTTCAAATTCCCAAGCATGGGCTTGTGCCAGCAGAAAAGATGAGGCAGACAGAAACAGTGGGGGGCAGGTTCTGGGCAGGAACCTGGACCAAGTAGTTGAAAACACAGTGCAAGAAGAGGAGGTACCGCTAGAGAAAGTCGGAGAAGAAAAAGAAATCGCAGCACTGCAAGGAGATGGTGTCCAGGGATTCCCAGAAGAGGGAAGAGTCTTGGGACAAGAACTGTCAGAGGCCAACTCTCAGGATGGGGAGGGTGCACAGGAAGATAAGAGTGTGCAGGAAGAAGAGGCAAGAAGAGACCCTGCCTCCACTATACTTTGCCCTCCAGGAAAAAGAGAGAAACCCACAGAGCTCCCTAGGAGCCTCAGCGAGAGGGATGCAAATGCCAGTGGCCCCCACCTGGAACCTGGTTTGGAGAAGCTGCCCAAAGCAGCTGAGACATGCCATGCGCAAGCCCAGGCCAAGTGCACCCAGGGGCCTAGGGAGACGAGCTCTTCTCCGGCCCGCAGAGTGTCTCTGGACCCTGAGCCCCTCTGGGTGTCCAAGTTGCTGAGGAAGATGGAGAAGGCCTTCATGGCCCATCTTGGCAGTGCCACCGCGGAGCTCCGAGCCCGCTGGAGCCTGCAGAACAACAGCCTGCTGGACCAGATGGTGGCAGAGCTGCAGCAGGACCTGGGCCTTCGGCTCCGAGATAGCACTGAGAAAGAGCTCCAGAAGATCTGGAGCCAGGCAGTGGGGAAGAAGCCGGGGCCAGCCCGGGAAGGCCTCAGGTGGGAGATGGCCCTGCAGATGGAGCAGCGCAGGCGCCGTCTCCAGGGCCTGAGGTACCTCTCGACCTTCTCCGGGCCGGCTGGAAGCCAGGGGCCCGGCCCCTTCCCCACAGAGGAGGAGGATGCACCAACCCTCAGCGGAGCCCTGGGGACCTGGCTGGTTGGGGAGGCCGAGGGGGAGGAGTTTTGTCCCTGTGAGGCCTGCATGAGGAAGAAAGTGATCCCCACGTCCCCGAAGGACACAACGGGGGCATCCAGGGCACCCATCCAAAAGTCCTTCGACCTGCAGCACCTTCTGCAGAAGAAGAAAAGGGCGTGTGCTCGTGGCGAGGCAGCAGAGGCAGCCCCCGAGAGGAGAGGGATGGAGCTGCTTCAGGGGGACCCCTTGGGGACAGGGACTGTCCAGGGGTCCACTGGAGGCCTGGAGCTGGGGTTAGACCAGGACCCTGGGACAGAGGGGTGGGGCGAGGGTGAGAACAGCCAGACCCTTGGCAAAGACGGAGACCCCCGAGGGAGGGAGGAGGAGGCCACTGCTCAGAAGAGAGAAGGGAGCACAGGGGCTGGACGAAGCAGTGTCCCAGAGGCAGCAGGTGGGGAGGAGCAGGGCTCTGGTGGGAAGGAAGAAAACCCCGAGGAGGGCTCTGGGGCTGACACCGCTTTGGAAGGTGAAGCCTCTGGAGGAGGTAACCCAAGTCCAGGAGGACAGAACGATGGTGTCAAAACTGCAGAGGCCCCGGAAGCTGAAGGAGAGGGGCAGCCAGAGTTGGGAGGGGGAAACCAAGGGGAGGAAGAAGGTAGCCCGCAGGTCGGCTGGGGACAGGGCCAGCCAGGTGAGACTTCTGGAAACAGAAGCCCAGATCAAGAGGGGAAGCCAGCACTGCCGCCTGCCCCAGGTGGAGATAGCCCCTGCCGGAGGTCAGGCTGGAAAGCAGGTCTCGCCTCCTCCAGCACATCATCTCTGGGAAACTGCTCTCAGCTCTCTCAGAAAGGCTCTGTAGAAAAGCCTTTGAATGGAGACATGAGGAGCTTCGAAGAGGAGTCCAAGGTACTCCCTGGTCCAGAGAGAAAAGTCACAGATATGTACCCAGAAAGCTCCACTTCTGAGCAAGAAGAGGCCCCCTTGGGGCCAAGGACTCCAGAGCAGGAGGCAGGCGAGGCCTCTGGCCTAGAAGCTGAGAAGGTAGTTAAAACTCCTGCTTTCACAGAAAGGAGGTTTAAAAACCTCACCACGGACAGAACAGATGGCTTTGGCCACGATGACTTAGATTTCTAGAGATCCAGCCGCAAGGCAGTCATGAGTCTGTTTTTAACCTTTTGTCTACACACCTGAGCGTGGCTCGGTCCCCTGGAGATGTGCAAAGAGCTTGGAGAAAGATCAGGACTTGCCAAGGACGCAGCCACACCATGCTGTCCTTGGGTTCTAAATTCTGGAGCTTCACAGGGCCCTGCTGGCCAATCCCATGCGTGGTGTGAAGGAGGGTTACCTCAGATCTGCCCTGTTATCCGAGGTCAGCTGGACCCCACCAGTTTCCTGCTGAGCCCAAAAGGATGGAACTGACGGGAAAAGTTCCAGGAGAGTTTTGTTTGTGTGTTTGTTTTTTGCTCTCATTCTTTTGCCTATTGATCTCTGGTTATTTTTCTCCTTGGCTTCTCTTGGCATTCACCTCGTTCAACTTTGAGGTGTTTTTTTTCTAGTCTTGAATATATTTGGTGACTCTGCAGATGTGAATACTCGGAAGACACAGATAAATTCAGGGTCATTGGACAAAGTTTGTTCTCAGCCCCAAAGTCCAAGTGTATGTCCTTAATTCATATATATATTCATGAAAATACATATTGGTAATGGAAAAAATTGGGAAAGGCAAAATAAAGCAGGAAGAAGGAAAAGTAGTCATCCATAGTCCCATCACTCAGAGATGACTAATGTAACAGTTGCCTACAGTTCTTTCCCAATTTTTCCTAACGGTTTGATAGTTGAACTCATCCTTATACACTTCTTTTTTTATTTAACAATATAGGAATTTCCCCAGTTTATCTCAAAATCTTCACAAAACTTTTTTTCATAAAACTATTTTTAATGCCTGAATAATTTATTATGCAAACATAAAACACTTTACTTTGCCATTTCCCTAGTGTGGGCCATTTAGATGGGTTTCGTTATTTTTTTTTTTCTTAGCATTCTTCTGCCCGAACTGCAGATGATTTCCCTAGAATAGATTCCCAGGCGTGGAATTACTTAGCCAAAAATATCAGCTTTTTTCGAGGCTTTTGATATCATGCTGCCAAATTGCTTTTCTAAAGGTCTGTACTAATTTACATCACCTGGCCCACCACGAGCTCATCAGTGTTTGGTATAGCCATTAAAAATAAGAAATCTTTTGCTAATTTTATGGGCAAAAAATAGTACCTGACTTTAATGTGGTACTATTTTTGATATATTTGATTGCTAGTGAGATTAAAGAGTTTTCTGTTTATTAAAAAGCTATTTGCATATAAATTTTATGTGTATGCTTTTCGCCCATTTTCAACTGGGATCCTAGCTTCTTTTTTTTTTTTTTTTGATGAATTGATTTACCTGTGCCCTTTATAATTTTTTGTTAATATTCTATTTATCATTTTTGAGATTTAAAAAAATAATGCCCTTTCTCTACATCGTTCCACAGCTAGCCTTGGACCGGGCCCTGTCTAAGTAGGGAGCTCCTGATGGGGCAGAATTTCTTTGACTGGTTCTCACCAGCATTCTTGCTCATATATGACCATTTTGTGTACTCGGAATTATTAAAGTAGAAGTCGATGCTACAAGGACAGGTATTGCCCCCTGGTTGTTTAAATGTAAATATTAATAATAAAAAGAAAGCAAAAATAAAAATAAGTAAAAAATTAAAAATAAGTGAATGTTGGGTGTAGGCCATGTCCTCATGCCTGCAGTCACCTGTTCTGTTTCTGAGTGCTGTAAATGTTCTTAATAAAATTTGGTGTGTTATAAAGTTTTCTGTGGAGGTGATTATTCTTTTCCTTTTTTTTCTTAAGATTTTATTTATTTATTTTTTGGGGGGGGAGGGGCAGAGGGAGAGGGCTAAGCAAACTCCATGCTGAGCACGGAGCCTGACTCAGGGCCTGATCCCAGGACCCTGAGATCGTGACCTGAGCCAAAATCAAGAGTTGGTTGCTTAATCAACTGAGCCACCCAGGTGCCATATGTGTCTGTGTACACACACACACACACACACACACACACACTCGCATGTGCTGGTGCCCTAGCCAGAAGTCCTCAGTGGAACAGATTGTATTGTGAGCTTGCTTTAAATATGGTGACATGCAGAGTTGTCCAGAACTTGTCACTGTTAGTTGACATGATGTATACACCATGCACTTCTTCTGTGGCTTGAGGTCCCCAGTCATCCCCTAAGAGATATTCCAACCTTTGTGTTTCCTCATCTGACCTCCCCAAATGACAGCCAGCCATCGCTGGCACTCACTGACCTGGCACTTAATTAAAATGGCGTCGTCCGTTCCTGATCACGAGAACGAAACAGCATGGGATTTGGAGTCGCATGACCTATAAGCTCAAGTCCCAGCGCTAGCACCTCAGTTTCAACCGTGAAAACCGTGTTTTCCTCATTGCATTGTTGAGAAGTTGATGAGATAACATATGAAACTTCCTTGTACTCATGTTGGGAACATAGCAATATGTTCATTAGCACTGCTGTGTTTTCAATGCCTGTTATGTGTCAGTGACCATATTAGATGCACGTGTACTCTTTCCAACATGTCTGTGACCTAGGCAAGTCCACACTGTCACCTCCGTATCACAAACGAAGTAATCGCGACAGGGAAGACTCACACAGCTCGTTAGGGGCAAAGCCAAGATTTAAACACAGAGATTTCAGAGTCTAAAGTCCCTGTCCTTTTTCCATTGTATCATATTTTCTTCATTTCAATTCAGGCCCCATAAATAAATAACTAAAGGTGATTAACACTTTGTTGAATGAACTTACTGCAAAATAGTTAAGACTTAGAAAAGTAAATTAGATGGGATTGGTTTGCTCAACTGATTGCATTATGTCCTTAGTAATAGTCTACTTATATACAGATATCAGGAGCTGGAGATAAGCTGGTTTCATAAAGCTGAGAGTTAAGCTGGAAAATTATCTCTCCGTGGGATTCTCCTTTTAGTTACAAACCCACCTGCCTTAAGCTCCCAAATATTTCTGCCCTTTACCTTTTAAAAATCGTTGTTAATGGAAAACTGTGTTTTCTTCTGACTTGAAGATAAAGAATTCAGGGCCATTCCCAAAAGTGGGGCTCTTTGTGTCTCCTCCCCTGCCCCCTCCTCACTGTAGCAATCATACGGCATACCACGGTCCAGGCCTCTGACATGTAGCATCTAGGGAAAATGTTGGCATTCCTGTAGTCTTAGCCCGAATCCCTGATTCCAAACTCGATTCATTCGTCCCTCAAAGCATTGCCCAAGTCCTTCTAACATTTCCAGCCAGGGATTTCTCCTTGAAGTAAGTTGGAGAGAGAAGTGAGCAGTGGTAAAAAGAAGCCAAGCTCTTCTCCCCATCCTGTTGTCTAGCTGGTGGGGATCAGAGGCTCTAGCTCAAAAGGACCGTCTTTCAGCGGCTGGGAACCAAAGAATCCCATGTCCAGGTCCCGTGCCCAGAGATTCTGACCCTATTGGTTTGAGTTAAGAGCCCCAGCACAGCTAAGTTGTCAAGCTCTCAGATGTATACAGTGCTCTGCCAAGCTGGCTCATCCCTGACTTGGTCCAGCTTCTTTTTCCCAGGTGAGAAGACAGACCCATCCTGAAAAAAGGAATTGTCTAAAGCACACAGCGGGATAAGTGGCCATGCTGAGACCAGATACCATATCTCACTTCAGACTCCTCCTTCCCAGAGCTGAGAGAGGTCCTGCAGAGGAATGGGACGAGCAGGAAACCCACTGCCTTGTAACCCAGAACTGCGCTCTTCTCACCTGCATGCCCACCCACCTTCCTCTTCCCCCACTGCATCTGAGTCTGTCCCTGAGACCCAGGTTTTATCTCCACGAGAGCCCTTCTGAGGCATCCAGGGGAGAAGTAAACTGACCTTCTACAAAGCTATCCAGGCGGGTGCAGCTTGGAAGGGGACGCATCCTGAGAGATTTCCAAACAAATCATTGTCCGGGGTTTCCACCTAGACAACTTGATCCAAGTGGACAGTTCTACTCAGAAAATTCTGATTCAGTGTATCTGAGGTGGGACTCAGGAATGTGCATTTTCACAAACCCCTGGAAGAAAGCCCACATACCTGCCTCTCCCCCACCGCCTCGCCAAGTTGACTCCTCTGTGGTCAGGCCATCCCACCAGAACTGGGGTTCCTCAGAGAGGCTGTGCACCTCTTCTCAGCCTTGCCAGCCCGCCAGCACCCCCCCAATGCACACACACAGTTTCCCTGCTCTCCCTCATTATGTGGTCTGCCCAAGGGAGAGTGTAGGTCAGCCACAGCAACCTTTCTCTGCTTCCCTCTCTGGAGAAGCAACTAGGGTGGGTAAAGAGAAATCTCCCTCCGCTGATCCTCCCACCCACCCCCGGACCCCAGGTCCAGAGGCACAGCTGGCAGCCCGGGCCCCCTGTTTGTCTATGGGTCTCACCTGGGGCAGACGCAGACCTGGGCAGCAAAGGTCCCTGAGCTCATGCCCTCTCCCTAACCAAGCTACCCCGGGCAATGGGACCCACACTTGTTTCATGACTTCCACTGGAGCCCCCCGCCGCCACAGGCCTGACCTCCTGGAGTACTCAGCCCAGGGTCTTCAACCCTCAGACTGGTGGCCATTCCCAGCATCTGAGCTGAGCCACAGTATCCAGGGGTAGAGGGCAACTGCTTCATGCTGTTCCACCTCTAGGCAGGTCTCCACTTTCCCACTGCTTCCACACCCTCATCCCAGAGGCACTTGGAGACCCTCATTTGTGCTTTCATTCCTACTGGGGTTTACAGAGCCCTACCCATAGCCTCCTGGGTTTTAAGTTTTTAGACTTGGTTCGCAGGTGATCAAACCCAAGGTGCCCAGTTTGTTGATGAGAAGACCGATCGAAGGCCCCACAGGTCAGGAGCATGACCCAGCTGCTGCCATGCCTCCCCCACTTTCATCCACAACCCCCTCCCATCTCAAATCACTGTCCTGCACCACACTCTTGGTCCTAAAATCATGGCTAGTGGCGTATTTTCCAAACAACATTGTGTTTTTTAGTCATCATCCTGATTGGTAGGGCCCACACTCCTAATGATGCCC